TAATTAACCTATGTCTCGGATCCGATGGGTATCACATTTGTTCTAGCGCGAGAGACAGTTCTAGTCTATGTGTTTTCCATGATCATGTCCTCCAATCTATCCAGGCGATCATTGAGGTAACGGTTAGATTGTAATAGTTCCTCCTAAATGGAAGGGGCTGCTGAGCTCTCTGGTAGTGTGATGCGAGGTGCATGAGCATTTAAGGCCTGAGACTGGAGAGGAACGTCACCACCTCCCCCGACGGAGGGTTCAGAGTGGTGAGTCTGCACATTCTGTGAGTCCATCTGCTTGTACTGATATCTCCAGTAGAGTCGCCAAAATGTAGGGGTTCTTTTTTATCAAAACAATAAACAAGTGTATAATGGTGATATCATTAATACAACTGTGAAGGAAACAGATAAAGTGCTTAGTACAGGAGGAGGAGAAGAAAAACCAGTCTGCAAGATTAAGATGGTAGTAGGGCAAGTATATAATTTCTTTTATCATAGCTCCTTTTTTTCCCCTGCCTATTCCTTCATGGGATAAGATTATTTATAGGCTCAGATCCTATTGGTCATTGTCCAATGGTTTCTTTCATCATGACTCCCCGTTAGGATCACGTGGGCAACTCTGAGGGTTTAGGAGTCTAAAGAGTCTAATCCTTCCCTTGAGCCTTACACCACGTCGCCAAACTTCCTTTCTCCCACTTGGGGCATTAAATGCTGATTGACTATCGGTTAGTCGAGCCTGACACGGCATTGAATGTGATTGTAAGGGTTGCTGATATAATGTGTATAATCCCATCATCTTGTTAACTAGGTTTTGCTAAGAGCGAAAGGCACTTCTTGACTTCTCATCCACCAATCCAAAATCCTCCTAAGTTTCCCAATTTTGGGTTCTTCGAAGGCCTTACCTTCATTTTGTGTTATGTATGAACCCATAATATGCTGACGGCGAGCTCTCTGGGGCTTTACTCTCTTGACACATTATTGTTTGTTGTGGCATCAAGGCTTGAGGTGCTCGCGGGTTGGTTCCTCGAGATTTGGTAGGCCTGGTGCGATACCAGGGCTTGAAGGCTCGAGGGTTAGTTTCTCAAGGCTTGACGAGCTTGGCGAAATACTAGGGCTTGGGGTGCTCAAGGGTTGGTTTCCCGAGGCTTAATGGGCCTAGTGTGATACCAGGGCTTGAGGTGCTCGATGGTTGATTCCTCGAGGCTTAATGGGCCTAGTGTGATACCAGGGCTTGAGGTGCTCGAGGGTTGGTTCCTCGAGGCTTAATGGGCCTGGTGCGATACCAGGCCTTGGGGTGCTCAAGGGTTGGTTCCTCGAGGCTTGACGGGTCTAGTGCGATACCGGGGCTTAGGGTGCTCGAGGGTTGGTTCCTCGAAGCTTAATAAGCCTGGTGCGATACCAAGGCTTGGGGTACTCGAGGGTTGGTTCCTCGGGGCTTGATGGTCCTGGTGCGATACCAGGATTTGGGGGTGCTCGAGGGTTGGTTCCTCGAGGCTTGACTTTTCAATTTGCCACGAGGGCCTTGGTTAGGCTTGTGTTTGACTTGTCAATGTGCCATGTCATCTTTTAATAAGTGACACACACACTGTGTATATGAGATAGTTTTGACAAACAATTTATATATATATATATACAAATTATCTCTAATTTGATATTGTCATATCCCTTTTGTATGAATGAGGAACGTGGAGGATGACTTTTGTTTACTGCTTAGCCTTGAACAATAAAGACCAACAATTTTGTTGTTGTTTTGTAACGTTATTATTAATGTTCGTTACGAGGGCTTGTTATTTTGGTTAACTTTGGACTAATTTATTATTAATGTTGGTTTATGACATGTTGAACTTCTATGATTTTGATTGATATTTAAATTAATGCAGTAATATTATTATTGAAAGTTTGAAACTGATACAGCAAAACAGGTTCAATAGAAGCGAACAAGCACTAATAACGTTAGAAATGTGACCCAAATTGAAAGCCTAACTTAAAAGCCCAAGAAAAACCAAAGATATTACCTGAATTAAGAACCTGAGTTGAGCCCACGTTTTAAAAATTAAGTATGGGCTGGGCTTGGGCTTACTAGGTTGGAATTACCCTTGGGCTTGGGTTGGGCTTGGGCTGAATATTTATACAATGGGCTAAGCCCGAGTTTAGTCTCTAATCCGCCCAATCCGCCCGAGTTACAGCCCTAGTTTCTGCTGTTGCGTGTTGGCTTGTTTCTCAACAAATCTGGAGCCTGTTCTTCATTTTTTTTCTTTTGTTACTTCATGATTTGTTTGTCTCTGTTTGGCCATTTTTGGCAGCGTTTGTAGATGCCGTATGCCTGTTTTTCGTATTGCCAAGATAAAAAGTAAAAAAAGAACCTACTTATAATTGTACTGCACATGTTAATTGATTGGTCTAAGTTGTAAGATATAATATTATTTATTAACAAATTTTGGTATTAAAATAAGTTCGTTTGAGTTGTAATTGTTGATTTGATTTTCAAGATTCAAAATCGAATGTAAAATTAAAGATACAAATCGTATCTATACTTTGATACCATAATAACCATACATTAGTAAAGTAAATGTGTGTAAAAGGACACGAGAGGTTAAGAGAATATTCCTTAAAATTGTTTTCAAAGTATTTATTGTCAAGTCAAGAATGATGGACTGGCTTCACAATATTGGATCATGCATATCATATGTGAAAAAGAAAACAAAAAAGAGCATTAATAAAGTAAGGCAGAGTAAACTGGGAAGAGTACAAAAAATGTGAAAGACACAACATTACAACCATTTTCACATTTTTACTATTTTTCATGTGAACAAGCCACTCCAAAATACTAATCACTATCTAGCTGCCAACTCTGCCTCTCTGCCTCCATCCTTTCCTGATTTTTAATAGTTCAATTGATTGCACAGTACTTTGAATTGTTGGAAGGACCTGTCTTCCAGTTACTAAGAACCTACCTATAAATATACTACACATATGAATTCACTGGTACAAGTTGTGAGATATAATATTATATATTGACAAATTTTGGTGTCAAAACAAGTTCGATTGAGTTATAATTGTCTGTTTGATTTTCAAGACTCGAGTTCAAATGCGGGATTAAAGATATGGATCATGTCTATACATTGATTTGATAAGAACGACAGGTTAGTAAGATAAGTGTGTGTAGAGGACACGTGAAAATGAGTGCATATGCATTTAAAAGGTTTTCAAAATATTTACCTTCAAGTCAAGAAATTGGTTCAATTGATTGCAGAGTACCATGAATTGTTGGAAGGACGTATCTGCAAGTTTAGTGTATCATGCATAATAAAAGTTGAGTAAAATGCATTTGTTGAAGTCCAATCAATTGATGTAACACTATTTCTTTAGTAACATTAGTTCTACTCAATTTTTCAACATCGTGGACAAACACGGACACAATTGAAACACATTATATTTTCAGCCGAAACAAAAAGAGTTGGTTCATGTGCATAGCTGTTGAATTTAATATGACATTGGAAGTTATATACTATTTTTTGTATAACTACAGAGTAACATGAACCAACTCTGGATGGTTTGATGTTGATCAAGTTCTAAGATTCTGGGGTGAGACAGAGTAACATTTTTTTATGCATAAGTTTTTTGAATTTAATGATTCAATGGAAAAGAAAAAATAGTTTATTAGCCAAGAACAAGAACTCATTTTACTTTCATTTCAAATTTTAATTTTTAAATTTTTTTTTTTTCTCATGGTTCCAAGAACTCATTTTCTTATCGCATGATTTTTCACCAATTATTTAGCATTTGGAATATTAGGGTACATCTTTAAGCTTTCGTGCTTCATTTCTGTGTAACCTCTAAGCCTAAAGCCAATTGAATTACAGCTTTCAAATGTACAAGACCACCTGCAAGAGTAAATATGAAACCCTTAGAAAATCTTCACTTGCTGTAACAAATATCTACATAGTATTTATCAATTCTAAATGAGTGTGTGTGTGTGTGAGAGAGAGAGAGACAGAGAGAGATAAGTATCCAAGAGGGGGCATCCTGTTTCCTTGTCTCTAATTGCACCATGTGACTGCAATAACCTACTAAGTAGACACCTACTTTGCCAGAAGAGTAGGAGAAAGAGAGAGACACTCTCACAATAGAAGATGATATATTGTATGGGACATGTAATATTATGACCTTCGAAATATATATATATAAAATTATGCAATAGAGGCACATTTTCAGCTAGATTCTTGGCTTCCATGTGATCGTACAGGCCGGTAGTCCATAGTCCTATCATTGTACAATTTTAAACATGAATGAATTGGCAATTGGTGTATGCATATTTGAATATATATTTTATGATCACTGTCTTGTCTCTATTACTACAAATTTAATTTCTAGATCAAGAAGAATTGTTGGCTCTGACTTTATCAGACACGAACATGTCTATACTTAAAACAATTCATTTGAGATAAAGTTAGATTTCCATTCAATACTATCTTGGATTATTAAAATTCTAATCATTGAGGCTGCATAAATCGACGTAAATTATATATTCCTGTTTCAAATGATTAATTGAAGCACCCCCATAAACTGATGTCACCTTCTCCATCAGCATTGAAAATGGGTGAAGAAGGGGATGCACTTCGTTCTTTATAGGCTAATCTTTCTTTCCAATATTTACTATACTAGTAACCATTCACATCAATCCTGGATGAAAAGAGCCTAATTATGTTATTTACTATTTTTTTTTTCCCTTCATCATCTACCAAGCCTTCCATCATTTTTTTTTTTTTTTTTTTTTTTTTCCTGGTTCTGTAATATGACAAGTCCTCGATCTACATCAATGAAGAGGCATGAAGCAATAAGGCATTAAATTTCTTCCAATTTTCATTATACTCTCCAAAAATGAGAATCGAAAGAATGAAATAAACTCTGATTTCATTGTAATATACTTTGGTATGCATGTTACAATACTTGTACAAAACTTGATTTACAACATAAAATGTGGATGACATGATCCAATTGTCTGTTTCTTTAATGAGTGAGGATGTTAAGAAGGGAGACTCTATTTTGAATAAGGCGCCTAAACACACAATCCAATCCGGCCTCAAGACTTCCAATGCTAGCATCAAGTGTCTGCAATCTCCTTTGGGCCATTTGGAGATCAACCTTGGCATCATTTCTCTGAATGCTTCCATGAAGGGACTGCAGAGCGAAATCAACGCTCCCTACTTCATTGAAAGTCTTCTGGCCTCTTTCCGAAGCTTCTGACCTTGTGAGCATCAATTTTGAAATTAGTGACCACCCTCCGGACTTTGTGTTCGAAGATGAGGCAGACAAGAACAACAAAAGGGATCGAAAGACAGAGATGGTAATGGAAGTTACTTCTCTTAGCACTCTCATGACCATCATTGGATAGTGTTCTATATCTAAGAGAGTAGATGATCCGGTTTTGCTTTCCTTTCGCTTTAATGCTCTAAGGCATTTGGTTACATCCTTCTTCATTTTTTTCCTGAAGCACATATAAGCACCAATGTTGCTTTCAATGCTTGAATCTCCACCTTTCCTACGTAATGCTGATTGAAGGTCTCGGACACATTCCTTCATCATCCCAAACAAGTCTCGCGCAGAGCCACACGAATCCAGCAATCCAACTGACCCCTCAAGTGCCTCTTCCACTAGCCCTCCATTCTGAGGTAGGAGAATAGCTTGCTGCGTGAGTGGAGAGTGAATGAGTTCCTCAACACAATTGTACAACTCTGCAAGCCCAAGCAGACCAATTTTAATTGTCTCTGCACTTACAGAATTTGTTGTTGAAACTAGTGATGTTTCCCAACTCTTTAGCTTGTTTAACTCAGCTTCAATTTTGATAGAATGAGGGGGCAACCGGGAAGGCAAACTAATGGACCGGACATGATATTGCAAAACAAGATTCGCGGATGAATCTGCCATATTCATTTTTTTCTTGGCAAGTGATGAAAATTGATCAAGTGTTCAAAGTGAAGCTTGGATGGCAATGATGGTTCAATCCATTTATAAGAAGAGCCTCTTCATGTCAATGTAAACCATCCTACCTATTTTTATGATCACTTGTCTCATTTTTGGACAACAATGTGCAATTTCTTATTCTCTCTTTGAATTTATTGTCATGAAATACAGAAACAGGCAATATTTAGCTTTGATTAATTTTTTTCAGTTATGATTCTTGGATACTAAACAAGTGGTACAGGCCAGAAGAGCTATATACCTAGTTGCCTCCCCAATCATTAGTAGCACCATGCTCTCAACCAGAATTCTATCTTTTATATAGTTTACATCTAGAAGTATATTTTGCTATGTTTCATTAATATGGATGACAATGCATGCATTTTTAGGACTGTGTGTGTGAGAGAGAGAGAGAGAGAGAATATTTACCACAAAAATCATTATAAACCATAGGCCTAATTAAGAATATTCTAGGACAGCAATGGGGAACAACTGATATTGAAAAACTAATTCCTAGACAGTATAAATTATTTTCACAAGATGACATGAGGTGGAAGAAAAGTTCATGGTTTGGGGAGACAAAGAAAGCATTTAGAAATCCTTTTTAAAAATAAAAAATAAAAAAAATAAGCATAGAATTAGACATGGAAGAGGCAGAGCCTTAGCTTTTTGGCAGTATATAAGGGAATGCCTACATTTTGCAATCACATGCTCAATATATTCCCCCAGGAGGCCTTGATTTTCTTGTCTCTCATACCTACATTTTCAATCACATGCCATGTAATGTTACAGCAATGTAAAGATAGTATATTTGTCATTGTTCACCAAAATGAATTTTGTTAAAAATAAAAATAAAAATCTTAATTTTTTTTTTTAATTTTATTGTGTATTTGAGAATCAATCAAACATGTGACGAATATATTCCAGAGTTCTTTGGATGGTAAAGCAAACTCATACACACATACCTCCACTGAAACTTGAACCCTTTGAAAAGGTAAAGTTTGTACGAGTTGGACTATTACTCATTTGGTGATGCACAAAAAAGTTGTGAAGATCAAGAAAGTGAAAAATGTGAACAAAAAACAAAAATTATATTTTCTTACTCTCTAAAGGTTGAGAATCATTCATATACAATACCAAAGAAATGACCCTCAAATGGATCCTCCCCTACTTTTAGAAAGAGCTAAACAGTTTAGAACTTAACCAACTTTATTGATATACAACACAAACAAGAAACAAAAAAAAAAAAAAAATGTCTTGGTGATAACAAGGCCGCCAATTAGTTCATACTAAGATTCGAACTCATTATTAACAAAATGTCCCTAGTATGACTCGAACTCTCAACCTTCTTTTTAAAGGAGGAGAGATACTAGAGGACCTTTGTAAGTTTAAGCACAATTCCCTGTAAGAACAAGCTTGAACACAGGTAAAAAAATAAAAACTACAATCATCTGGATGCAACAAAGTTGATTGCTTATTCTTCAAGCAACATCGGACATTCATGAATCAACTTTGATTTATTCTTATATAAAAACTGGAATAATCAAATGCCTAAGCAAAAGGCTTCTGGTTGTAGCAGTCAAGGTTTTTGCCATATCCCACACCTAATATGTCGCAATACCTCTTGTAGAATCCAATACGGTCCTGCACCTGAGCATTCGCGCCTTTTCCGCATTCGATTCCACCATTGATGATGTTAGTGATGACTCCATAGCCGGGTACCCTACCAGCTGCATTGTCTGCAACAGAAGGCTTCCATTTTCCAGTGATGACATCGTGGCACGACGGCTTTGGTGACTGTGGTGTCATCCAGAACCAGAGTGCAGTCTTGAAAGATATGGTTGGGTTGGTTGCAACTAAGTCCGGATTGTTTAACAGATTAGACCCTATGGCTTTTCCTGCTGGTCCATAGTTGTAATTGCTGGCAAAGTGACAAATCATGATTAAAGTTAAAATTTTGTTCAAGAAAAATTAAGGATCTGTTTGGGTTGTCACTTACAAAAATTGTTCTCAAGAAAACGAAAACTGTTTTAAAACAACTATGAAAAGACAGTTACCTAAAAAAAAAAAAAAAACTATGAAAAGACAAGTTCTCTAAAAACATACTCTTTTTTTTTCCCCTAAAAAAAATTGTTCTTAGAAACTATCAACTATTCAGATCGATTTCTATACATTTCTCAAAAACTAAATCAAGCATACCCTAAGCACTTCTCCATGAATCCAAATCATCTCCTATGAGAGAAATTCGAGATTCATTGGATAAAGTTAATAGTAAATCTCGTTACTACAATGGTGTGAAATAACACTTCATCCAAATAGTAATAAAATTCAAACAAGTGAAGTTTCACGTCATTTCACACTATTATAATAACAAAATTTACCAGTAATCAGCTTCACCCACCAGATAGAACCATGAGATAGTTACTCTATTTTGAGAGAATTGATTATAAACTGAATTAGTATTCTTTTTCTTTCATGAAATTAAGTTTTATTCTACCTCTGAATTTAATTTATAATCAATAAAACATAATACTTAAAATTTGGAATCAACATATTTAGAACCCATTAAATGAAAAAAAAAAAAATAATAATAATAATAATAGTGCTCTATCTAATGTATAAAATGTGGGAAAAAAAGAGAGAAAGGAGTAATTACTATGAAATTTGGATGGGACCACGACCATAGTATTTTTTACCAGGAGCGCATGGCCATTGATTATTTGCAACGCAATAATCCGGTGGATTGCCTTGTTCTCGAACGTAACAGTATCCCCATGCATATGGACCATCTGGTGCGCTTGCCCACCCACCTATATAATTTATATATAAAGAAAAATTATATTTAAGCCGAAATTTCTAGTCTATTTTGTAAACCTACATATTTTCAACCATTAATAGGCCTCGAGCTTCGTTAGTATAGCATGATTCATATATATGCACATCCAATTATTAATATATAAGTCATTTTACTCATAATTATTTTTCTTTTCTTTTTATTCGATCGGTATACATATATATTTAACTGAATTAGAAAACAAGTTCCATGCAAGAAAAAAAATCCTCTCCATTTATTCTCTCACTGGATTGGTCCAGGAAGGGTAAAAAAGTTGACTTGACACTTGAGTTAAATTTGTATTTACCCAGCTATCAATTTTTACATATAGTTTCCATATAAAACATATATATATTGTAATATTTAATTAATTTAATTTTCAATTTATGAATCCCACAATTTATACATATAGCTTCGGTATAAAACATATATATATTGTAATATTTAATGTATTTAATTTTCATTTTATGGATTCCATTGACAAAATAAGTGGCAAAAAAGGTAAAAATTAAACTTCCCCAAATAAAAAAACAAATTAGTGAGAGGAATAACAACAAAGAAGAATAACCCAGTAAAAACAAAAGAAAACCATAGAAGATTTGGGGGAAGAAGAATAAACGATATACGAACAGGATAACGAAGAAAAAGATTCCCGATACAAAAAAGAAGAAGTAAGAAGGTATTTTAATTTAAATAAAAAGGTAAAGTTGAATGATTTATTTTTTTAGTAGTACAATATATTGCATAAAGTATAGTATTCATATATATGATAAAATGAAGTGTACATTAGTAATTTTTTTTATTTAACTTGCTGACTTGGCGATGACAAAGGTATGTTAAAAAGATGGCGTTAGATGCTAAATGAATATAATCCAATAGGAGAATAATTTGAGAGAATTTTTATCCTCCCATACAAGCCATGATCTCATTATACTCCGTATTACTTATATATTTCTTTTAATGTATTAATGTATTATGTTTTGTTTATTGTATTAATTATCCAATACCTTTTAATCGAAAAGTTTTATCTTATGATTACATTATTTTTTTCTCAATAATTTCCTACCTTTTAGACTTCTTCTTTTCTTGTTCATCTCAATACTTGTTCTTACAATATTATATTTCTTTTGGACTTTGTAATTTATTAATTTTTAATAATATTTTTATATTTCTTTGAAGTTAATTACTGGTTGATAATAAAAACTAATAATATTGTATTAATTAATATAGTTAATTTAGAAAGTCAAATTTAACTAATTTTCTTCGTGCTTCCAGAAGCGTCAAGCCGGCCGAGGGTCCACTCTTTACGGCACTACATGTGACAAAAGTTTGACAGAAACACATTCGTTATATATATATATATATATATATATATATATATTGGGTAACTACATTCTTTATTTATTGTCACAGCAAGGACTTCAACTCTTAATTTATTTTTTTATTTGTTGCTATGCAAACTTTTGTCAAGCTACCAGCAAAACAGAACAAAGAAAAGAGGCCAACCCTGCCAAACAAATAAAAGCAAAAAAAAAAAACACCATTTTCATACTTGCAACCATTATTTACTATTTCATGAACCTTTGAAGCGTTATTAACTATTTCATGAAATCAAAATGAAGATGTTTTAAAATAATGAATTAGACCAAAATATGGATGGATATGAAAAATTATTATTTATTTTATTCAAGTGTCCAAACTATCCTTTCTATTTTAACGATATATATATTCAAAAAAATGAACTAATTTTGATAATCGATCATCAAAATGGTCTCACAAAATTGATACATGCGTGTACAAAAATTGGTACCTCTATGCACAAAGTAATACCACTTATACATCATCAAAGTCATGACAACACTCTTGTGCATGTAGGTATATGGAGGCACTATTTTTTGTACAGACCATTTAGACCACTGTTTTTTCAAATTTTAAGTCATTTTCTTATTACTAGTCATCGAAATAATAAGGGTAGTTTAGTCATTTGAATAAAATAAGTATTTTTTTCATGTCCACATTAATATCTTGATCAAATTCATTTTTCCAAAAATGATGGCTTTGACTTCATGAAATAGTAAATGCAATAGTGCCCCTACAGTCGTGTATGTAATTATCCCTAGCAAGAAAAAAAAAC